GGGGCCAGGATGGTGCCCGCAGGCAGGGAAGCAGCCTGCGGTGCAGCAGCAGAGGGGTCCAGAGCCCAGAGTCTGGTCCTAAAAGCCAGCCCTGGCTGGGGCCAAGGCGTGGGGAAGTAGGGGTGGGGTAGGGAAGATGGGGGGACAGAGGGTGACCAGCAGAGGGTCTTCTGTGCCTCCTCTTCCTCTCCTGCCCCTCTCCCCTGGTGATCTCCCACCCCTGGCCCCCCACATCCCTGAGGAGCCCTTCCCTGGGGAGCCCCTCCTAGGCCCCCTCACCATCCCCGTTGACGTCAATCTTGGAGAACACGGTGTCCGTGAACTCCTCTGCGGTCATGGTGGTGTCGCTGCAGGGGTTAATGGTTCGAATGGCCTGGGAGGTGAGAAGGGCAGAAGTGAGGGGACCTGTCCTGATGCAGGGGTGGAAGTGGGGACAGTGAGCTTGTTTGGACCCCCACAGCAGGGAGGAGTAGAGGACAATGCCTGAGTCTCTTGATCCCAGTGAGGAAACTGAGGCCTTCAGAGGGGAAGGGAGGTGGTGGCCCTGGCCACACAGCTAGGGAGGGCCGGAGCTCCAGCCCCCTTCCCCGCCCTGTCCCAGCTCCGAGCCCGGGAGCCGCGGCCGGCCCTGCCCAACCTCTGCACCTGGAGTTACCCTGATGATGGTGAGCAGCTCCTCGCGGTCGATGCAGCCGTTGCCGTCCACGTCGTAGAGCTTGAAGTACCAGCGCAGCTTCTGTTCCACCTTGCCCTTGAGGACCAGGCTGAGCGCCGCCACGTACTCCATGAAATCGATGTAGCCGTCCTGGGCAGGGGTGCGGCCGTGAGCACCCAGCCCGCGCAGCTCCCCCACGCCGCCTGGAGCCAGCCTAGGGCCCCAAGAGACACCAAGGGGAGGCCCGAACCGCCGAAGGAGGTGCGTCCGCAGAGTCTCACCCCCTGGGTGCCACCCTCCTCTGTTCCCCGGATGTCCCACAGCCCCCGCCCCAGGCCCGCCAGCCCCAGGAGCTGCCATCAAACCCCATAAACCCACACCCACAGGGGGCGAGGGGCTGATCCACCCCTTCACAGGCCTTTAGTTCTCAGCCTCCACTGGCTGCTTCCGCTCCAGGTTAGGGGAGGAAGTGTCTGGCCTGAGGAGCTGGCGTGGGGGCGCGAGGCAGACAGACACACACGGAGGCAAGGAGCGCCTCCCTCCTCCCCTCTATGCTCAAGGCTTTACGGAGCACCTGCCATGCGCTGCGATGCCCTGCGAGGACTAGGGACTCGAAAGACTGGAGCCTTGTTTGGGGCTCAGGTTCTAATGCTGGCTCTGCCCCCGGAAGCTGGGGTCTGAGGATGCAATCCGTCCCTGGCCTCGATCCCTTGTCAGTTAACACTTGCAATAGTAGCTGTTTCTGGGGGAAGGCTGTGGGATTAAATGCCGTCAGGTGTGTGACGCTGTCTGCACTGCTGGGCACACAGTGCGCTCACCTGTCACCACGGGTACAATTAGTGTAATGAGATCACTGAGCCCTCACATCTGGGGGGCATAAGCTCCTTAGGAAAGGTGTGCGCTGAGAGAAGTCACGTCACCTTGGCACTCAGCTCCAAGTTTCCTCAGCTCTACCATGGGAAGGGCATGTCCTTTTTTTTTCTTTTCTTTTTTTTCTTTTTTTTTTTTTTTAATTTACTATAAGGCACATGCCCTTGCTGGAGAGAGACAGAAAAAAAAGTAAGAAAGCACCTTCCATGGGGGATAATCACACAATTCCTTGTCTTCTTGGATTTGGGCATGCACACACACGCACACACACACACACACACGCACGTCTGGCATGTTTTTCAAGATGCCAGGTCTAGACCTTGAATCATGCAGTTGGCCATGTGGGATCCAGTGCCTTCAACTCCATGCCACCTGGCTGGCCCACCAGGTACTTTTCTTTTTGTTTCGTTTTTGAGTTATTTTATTTCATTTTAATTTATGATTGTTATTTAATTTGACCAGAGAGAGAGAAAAAGTGAGAAATCCAGCCACCAGGTCCGGGACTCCAACCATGATCAGACGTGTGGGAGTCCAGCGCCTTAACCACCACACCACGTGCTGGCCCCCAGAGTGTACTTTTCAAGACTGTAGCACGGGCTAGACTCTATACTTTATACTCTATAGTCTATATACTTTATACTCTAGCCTCACAGGCACCCCATGGGATGGGTACTTTTAATCCCTGTTTTGGAGGAGACAGCTGAATTGAGAGAGATTAAGCCACACAGTGAATGAGTAACGAAGCCTTCCTAGCAAGTGGGGTCTCCTAAATCCTAGCCAGCCCAGCCCCAGCACTAAATGCAGGACGGGGCAGTGTGCACCTGCATGACTGCCATGCACGGCCACGCCCATGCAAAATTCTGAAGTAAGCAAAGCGCATGCTCGTCCTCACCACACCTCCAGTCAGCGCTCACTCCCAACCTGCACCTCCCGGGTCATATCCGGGGGTGCAACCTCCTTCAAACTCAGGAGCTGGAGGACGTGTTCTGTAAAAGGCCAGAGAGCAAAGAGTTCAGCTCTGCGGCCAAACAGCCGCTGTCACTGCAGCATGGAAGCTCCGCAATCCCTGGCATGAGTTTTACTAAAAGTAATTTACAAAAAATAGGCCAACGGACCCTCATTTGCACGTCCCTGCTTTAAGTCCTCTCTGCATCAAAATGTTCTAGTACTGGCCCAGCCTCAGTGATGCAGTCTATAGCACACTGGACTACAGTCCTGGATGCCACGTGGCCAACCACAGGTTCGGATCCTGTGTCAGCCCAAAAGCACACTGAGAGTGCACAGGCAGCTGGATCCTGAGGAGCTGGAAGGCTAGGGAAAGGGGTTTGCAGTGTGATGAGACCCTGTCGGGGGTTCTCTTTCTTCCTCATGTGCATGCATGTGCATGCATACACACACGTGTTTTCTATCATAGAAAAAAATTTCCCAGTGCTGTCCCATCTCCTAGCCAATCTGCTGAACTGCTCCATGCTGATGACAAGAGGTCGAGACAGTGTTGCCCAAAGTGTGATTGTGCACTGTGGGTACATAGGAGGCATATTAGGTGTTACAACGATGCTCTTCATTCTAGTAACTGCAGAGTTAAATTAATGAGTATTAAAAAGCATGTGACTAGCCTCTAAGGCTCATAGTTTCTCATCTGTTGATTTATTTATACAACCAGGGTTTACTAGACACCTACCACGTTCCAGCGCTGTCCTAGGAGCTGGGAGACAGCTGGGAACAAGGCAGGCAGAAGTCCCTGTCCTCCTGGACCTCCCATTCCAGCAGAGGACATGGGCCATAAAAGCAACAGCTAGATGTGCTCTAATACCAGTATCCGAAGGTGGGAAGCACTCTGGGGAGAAAGGGGGGACTGGGAAATGCAGAGCTGGGGACCAGTCCCTGTTCTAAACAGAATTTAAGCCTGGAGAGACCAGCAGATGGCCTAACGGTTACATCACTGGACTCCCACATAGTTGACAGTAGTTTGAATCCTGGACCCGGTGGCTTAAAACTTACACTGGACACGGGTGCATGTGTGCCCAAAATCTTAAGAGGAGATGGAGGAGAAAGGACTGTGGTATCCCTAGAGGGTGATTTCTCGCTTTCTGTCTCTGTCTCTGTCTCTGACAAGTACATGTACCCTATGGCAAAAAAAAAAATAATAATAATAATAATAATAATAAAAGAGCCTGGAGTTTAGGGTAGGTGTTAGTGAGAAAGAGACCTTTGTGCAACACGGAAAGATGGGAGCCAAGGAGAATTCTAGAGAAAAAGAGTCCCAGGCAGCACAACGGCCCGAAGGCAGGCGGCTGCGGGTGGCATACGGGAGAAGACCAGACTGACTTCTTTTCAATGGAAAGATGAGGGTCAGCTTGGGGGTGGAACAGCATGGGGGTGCTGGCGTGTGACAAGAAATTGGAGAGCTGGCAGGTGTCTGACTCGGCGTAGGCAAACACAGGACCTGCGGGTGGCCCCTCGCTGGTGTCATAGGTGTGGCTTTACAGGGTCCTTCTGCAGTCAGGTCTTGACCCAAACGACTTCCCTAGCAGGTGAGAAGACGGGGTGACATGGAGCGTCGAGGAGTAAGGTGGCAGGACACAGCCCCTGTCCCTTCCTCCTCCTGTTGAGGAGCTATTGCTTCTTCCAGAGCGGTTGGGGGCCCAGCGGGATGACTCCCCACCTCCTGGTCTCCGCGCCCCTGGCTCCCATCCCCTGCTCCCCTGTTACCCCTGCAGGAAAGCCCTTGGACACCAGGATACTGCCCTTGAGGCTGAGACTCAGCCTGTAATCTGCTTTGGTTCCTTGACCCCAGGTATTAGTGAGTTTTAAATAGCTGTTGAGCCCAGCTTTCCCTGGACTCCCCCCAAAACCAGCAGAGTTGGGATCCCCAGGCAGCACCAGGAGCCTCTCCTGGGCTGCAGCAGGAAGATGGCTGTGCTTCTTCAGGGTCTCGCCTTTCAAGTGAGGGGGGTGGAGCGAGGAGCCAGGTTCATAGACTTGGGTTCTTTCACCACCGGATCTTGCCTGAATTGCCCCAAATGCTACTGGAAACCAAGAAGCATCTTTTTGTTTCTTTCTTTCTGTTTTGTTTTGTTTTGTTTTTAGAGAGATTTTTGCTATAGGGTGTGTGCACTCACCAGAGAGACAGAGACAGAGAGACAGAAAATGAGAAATCACCCAATGGCCACATTGCAATCCCTTCTCCTCTTGAGATCTTGGCACACACGCACACACACACACACATACGTGTGCCCTGTGTGAGTTTCAAGTCACCAGGTCCAGGACTCAAATCGGGTAGACTAGATGGGAGTCCAGCGACATAACTACTATGCCATCTGCTGGTCCCTCAAGAAGCATCTTAGGGACCAGTAGTTAGCATAATGGCTGTGTCACTGGACGCCCATGTAGTTGACTGCAGTTTGAGTCCCGGACCTGGCGGCTTAAACTCACGCTGGGCGCGTGTGCATGTGTGCCCAAGATCCCGAGAGGAGAATGGAGGAGAAGGGATTGCGGTGTGACCATCCCTCCTGGGGGGTGATTTCTCGCTTTCTGTCTCTCTGTCTGTCTGGCGAGTGCCCTATAGCAAAAACCTCTCAAAAAAAAAAAAAAAAAAAAAAAAGAAGCACCTTAACAAACGCTCCCAACATCCACAGCAGATACAGGCACATAAGCTGAGGCTGAGAGGAGAGACGTTGGGCTCGAGGTCACCCACTGATGGATGCTAGGGACCCGACTCACGGCCCAAACTCCCCTGCCACTGTCCCCTTTAGCTTATCAGGAAGTCCCCATCTAACAGGCCAATGGTTCCTTGCAGAGACTTAAACTGTGGCCACCATGCAGACCTCCAGACTTGCATAAGATGCACTGAGGTCACTGGGTATTTTGGAGTTAAGATCGTCCCAGATTCTGGGACCAGCAGTTGGTGTAATAGCTATGCCGCTGGACTCCCATGTAGTCGACCGCGGTTTGAGTCACCCGGTGGCTTAAACTCACGCTGGTCGCATGTGCATGCATGCCCAGGATCCCAAGAGGAGAATGGAGGAGAAGGGATTGCGTCGTGGCCCTTCACCCTGAGGGGGGTGATTTCTCACTTTCTCTCTCTCTGTCTGTCTGGCACACGCCCTATAAAAAAAAAAAAGATCCTCTCAAAAAAAAGGAAAAAAAAGATTGTCCCAAACTCTCCGGTGGCTGGGCAGCCCTGCCTGTCCTCTCTCTCAGTGTCCACAGGACTGCATGAGGACCCGACTAACATGGCCTGCCCGTCCCAGGCCGCCAGGGCTAAAGACTCATCGCCATGCCCTTTGCTGCTGCAACCCTGTTCAAGGTCTCTGCAAGGGCGTCCCAGACACACCAGCGTGTCACAGGTGCTCAGTGACTGTCCTGGAAGTGTTCACATTTGCTTGGGATTAAACCGAGATCTGCGTGTGAAGAGGCAGTGAGATCCAGCCTCCTCTTCCGCTACCTTGTGGGCCTCTCTGTGCCCCTGAGAAGCGAGCGCAGGGAAAGCGGCTGATTCGTTTCTAACCCGAGCCTGGCTCACAGCTGACACTCGATACACACTAGATGAACTGAATCCCTCGTATTGACAGTCAACCACCCAAACAAGCAAGTCACCGTCCGCCGAGGTTGCCCCTCCAGGGACACTTCTACGACAGCTGCTCTTCCACACCCCAAGCCCACCTGGCCTCCAAGGTGACCCTGCAACACCCCCACCCCACCTCCCCGGGTCCTGCTCACCTTGTTGAAATCGAAGGTCTCAAACATCTGCTCGACGTACTGGCTGGATGTTGGGCTCAGGTTCTTGAGGCCGAAGAACTGGCGGAACTCATAGAGGGTGAGCTGGCCGGAGGGACACTCGGTCATGAATTTCTTGTACCACTGGTGGCACTCGGTGCTGCTCAGTTCCTCCACCGACTTGCCTTCCATAACGTTGCCCATTGCTCAGGCCTGCGGGAGGGCTGACGCCCGAGACACACAGGTTCTGTCCCCGCTGCTCCCTGCACAGGCCTTGGAAAACTGGGCCCTCCTCTCTCACAGGCCTGAGTCCTGCGGTCGGAGCAGGGACGGGCCAAGTAGGATGGTGCAGGAAAATGCCGAGAGATGAGCAGAGGCCCACGCCTGAACCCAGAGGATGCCCGAGGACTGGTGTTAAAAGTCCCCACTAAGTCCTCGCAGCCAGAGTGGACTGTGCTCTGCTCCGGGGAAGCGGGTGAAAATAGAACAGAGCTTAGGGAAGCAGAGTTCCAGGATTATAGCCTTGAGCTGTAGGTGAGAGGATTTCCTTGCCCAGTTTGCAGTCTCCTAATCCCTTCTTACTCGGACAGAGCGGGTGGCTGGCTGCCCGCCGCTCTGACTCTGTGACCTCCTTTCTCTTCTTCTCCTGTTCTATGTGGGTTCACATTGCTTGGGGATCCTGCCCTCAGGCATGGAATTGGGGTGCAGATGAGCTAGAGTGGGTTCCTCTTCCAGGGCAGGGCCAACTGTGGTTCTTGACAGGGCTGCAGTGTACAGTTGCCCAGGCTGAGCCCTGTGCTTGGCCATCACTGCTGAGGGGACCCAGTCACACCAGGGATACACTGGTGAACGAGACAGCTTGGCTGGATGCAGTTTGTGGGCTCCTAAGATGAATCCTGAGCAGCCCTGGGGAGCCCCCCTACATTAACCAGCACTGGTATGTGTAGCCACACTCGCCCGCATGCATGCACACTCACACACACAGTGTCCCATGCTGACCATGGGCATGTCCCCAGAGGTGGCATCTTTCCCACCCTAGGAGGACTGAATGCAACCCTTGATTTGACTCTGAATATGAACCATCACCTACCTGGGTCATGAGGGCAGGGAGAATTGAGCGTGTGCCCGGTGCCCTGGGGTGTGCGTGCAGTGTGAGTGAGGGTGCAGGCACTCGGGTGCCCAGGTGAGCTGCTACCTGCAGTGCTGGGGGGCTCCCTGGTCAAACCTAGTGACCTGTCAACACAGCTGTGGCTTTCTCTGACACCTACTGGGTGTCTAACCTCTGGCCGCAGACCAAAGTTGCTGCAGGTCTGGAATCAGCAGTGAGGTCCAGGTACTCCTATGCTGCGTGCTTACAGGGAAGCCCAGAGCCAGTGCTCACCCCACCCCGAAATCCCGTCTCTTCCCTGCTCCCCTCCCTCCTTTACATGTGGGCCCTGACCAGGTACCCCTTAGCCGGACGGAACTGCTCCCACTTCCTGCGTTCTCCAGAGGGCCTTGGCCACTTGTTGAAGCTGGGCACGGAGGCACTCACATACAAGTACTTTGTGTACGTCAGGAAGGAGTGCCATTGGGGTAGCGCATTACCACAGCCGACCGAGCCCCTCCCGACTGAGACAAAGGTGTGCGGCGTCAGACGTTGCCCCTAATGTCGTGAGATTTTCTAGTGGACTCAGGCTCACCGAGCTCCTCCTAGAAGGCTCCACTGTGTGCCTGGAACCTTCCAGACTGCACTGCTGCCAGAGGAGGATTCTTTTTTTTAGAGAGAGAGAGATTTTTACTATAGGGCATATGCACTTGCCGGAGAGACAGAACGCAAGAAATCACCTCCCAGGAAGGATGGCCATCCCGTATCCTCCATTCTCCTCTTGAGATTTTGGGCACAGATGCACACGTGCCCGAGTGCCCGGCATGAGATTTAAGCTATGAGGTCTGGGACTCAAACTGCAGTCAACTACGGGGGAGTTCAGTGACATAACCACTATGCCACCTGCTGATCCCACAAGGGGAGGATTCTGTACTTCAGGCTGCAAAGCATTCTTTCTTTGAAGTTTTATTATTTATCTATTTATTTACAGTCATTCACTGTACATCAATACAGTATACGAAATGAGATTTTTCCATCCAGAGTACCTTGTATGTCGGCTCAATCAAGGATATTACCATACATGCGATCACCAGCAAATAATTTCCTATTTCTTGTTTCTTATACGTTTTGCTTTTTTGTTACCCTCTTAGTTCCCTACCTCTCACCCTCTGCCAATTGCCCCCTCTTCTCCCACAATGTCTCTGGTATGTACAGTTGCTTTCCATGCCTTGTTTTCTTCACATTTTATTGGTTCACTAAAGATCTTAATTAATTTAAAAACTTTCCATAGCAAGCACAGCTGATGTATACGTATCTATGAATGCATGTCTGACTAGGCATAACCTCAGTGAGTAAAGTGAACACACTATAAAGCAGCAGCTCACTGGGGCTGTAGAGCTTACTGCAGTCATTATATAGATATTAATAGATCTTCTTAATGTACTTTTTTATTTCATGAAAAATGGTTTTAGTTTTAATAGATCAAAATCAAAAAAATGTTGAGGACCAGCAGGTGGTGTGCTGGACATTCTCACATGGCTGACCATGGTTCAAGTCCTGGATCTGGTGGCTTTCCTTTTCGCTTCTCTTTTCTCTCTCTCTCTCTCTCTCTTTGGCGAGTGCACTGCACGCGCCCTATAGCAAAACAAACAAACAAACAACCTCTCCAAAGAAGAACTGGGTGTGGTGGCATGCCCCTGTGGTCCCAGCTACCCAGGCGGCTGAAGCAGGAGGAAGGAGACATTGTTGCATTTCACTAGTTCAGACACATGTAATTAATCTCTCTTCGATTAAATTTGCGGTGTTACTGTGGTCTGATCTTTCCGTTTAAACTCTGGAAGTTAACATTCAACTCCAGACTTGTCCCTGCCATTAGGCTGGCCATTCTCTTGGTAGTTTTTGTACTCTTATTTCTGTTTGTCTGACTCCAGTGTTCCTTGTGTAGCGCTCCCTTCAGCGCTTCTTGGAGAGCTGGTCTGGTGTTGGTAAATTCTTTTGGGTTTTGTTTATCTGAGAATGTTTTTGTCTTTTTTTCCCACATGAAGGATAATCTTGCTGGGTATAGTAATCTTGGTTGACACTGATTTTCACTTGACACTTTGAATATATTTTCCCATTCTTTCCTTGCTTGCATTGTTTCTAATGAGAGGTCTGGAGTTAGCCTTATGGAATATCCTTTAAAAGTAACTTGATGTTTCTCTCTTGCCAAATTTGGTATCTTGTCTCTGTCTATGGTTTTGGTCAATCTAGCTATGACGTGCCTAAGGGAAGATCTTCTTGGGTTGATTCTATGTGGAGTCCTTTGTATTTCTTGGTCTGGATATTCGAGTGCCTCTCTAGGTTTGGAAAGTTTTCTTCCAGGATTTCATGGAATAGATTATCAATGCCCTTATTAGTTTCCTCATCTTTAGGGATACCAATGATCCAGATGTTTGGGCATTTAATGGTACCTAGTATCACTCATACGTTATTCTCATTTTGGGGGGTTATTTTCTCAATCGTTTTTGTGAAATGTTTTAGGTCAGAGGTTCTATCTTTTACATCTGAGATTCAATCTTCTACATGATGTAATATGCTTTTGATATTTTCAAGGGAAGTTTTGATTGCCTGTATTAGAGCCTTCATCTATAACAATTCTGTTTGATTCTTTTTTATGATGTGTATCTCCTCTTTCAGATTGTGCAAGAATTCTATTTCCTCACCTCCCGGCTCTCGTCAGCTCCTTTCTCCATTCTCTTCTGCATTTCGTTGTCTCCCTTCTCTTCCATCTCTGTTAGCTTTGTCACTATGAATATTTTAAATTCTTTATTTGACATTTCCATGAGTTCCCTTGTATTCTCTGGCTCCTAGCTAGATCTTGGGGGCAGGAGGAAGAAGTGTGGGCAGAGGGTCTTCAGTGGTCGTAATCCCTGAATGAGGCCGCTCAGAACTCAAACATAGACAGCTGCTGATTAACTTGCTCTGGCTCTGGCTCCTGGCTAGACCTGGGCAGCAGGAGGGTGAAGTCTGGGCAGAGCATCTCTGAGGTCATAACCGCTGAATGGGGCAGCCCTTGTACTTTAAGATGAACACTTGATCATGTCTGGTAAAATTGAGATCACTGAAAAACATCCTTCAGCTTGTGATGACATGTGATAACCAAGACGGCCACTGCGTGACTAAGGAGTAATTGACATTTATTGCTTCCAGATGCTGAGCAACGAGAAGATTCACAGCCTGGAGACTGGAGATGCCATTAGGCTACTCAGCATGGAGTGCATTTCAACTGAATGAGCTGACTCTGTGGCTTGGTGGTTAAGACGGCCGGAGCTGACATGGCCATCCACCAGGTTCAAAGCTTGCTTTCTTCAGAGAGTACAGAATAGGGTAGATTTGTACACAGACATGTGTGTCATATACACACGCTCATGTTTATATAAATTGCATGCTATATATTATGTAATATGTAATTCATCTAAATAATATAGAATTACATTTAAATAAATCTGTGTGCATATACAACCTCTATTATATATAATACATATCAGATATAAAAGTATATATATATATCTTTTTTTTTTCTGTTTTCTTTCTTTCCAATTTGCTGTAGAGTGCATGCACTTGCCATAAAGAGACACAAAGAGAAAGTGAGAAATCACTCCCCAAGGGGGATGGCCATGCCGCAATCCCTTCTCCTCCATTCTCTTCTTAGGATTTCGGGCACACGTGCACACACACCTGGAGTGATTCTCAAGACTGGCTCAGAACTTGAACCATGAAGTTGGCCACGCGGGATCCAGTTGCCTTAACCTCCGTGCCCCCTGCTGGCCTACAATACAAGTTTATTTATTGCTCACCTTACTGGCTGGGTGACCTTGAGCAAGTACTTTAAATTCTCTGGATTTTATTTTCTTTTTCCTTAAAATGGTGGGAAGGGTACTCATCTCACATGGCTGTTAAGAGGATTATGTGAATTAATAATATGTGAAAAGCATTTCGGACAGGGTCTGGCACAGGTAAGCGCCCCGTGAATATCAGCTATCGCGTTCTCATTGCGTACCTGTTACAGCGGCTTATTTGGGACCCTGTGGACTTCAGAGTGCAGGTGCAACTATACTGCATCTTGGGCACCATGGTG